TATAATACTAAATTATGCATGAATTTTTCAAATTTAAATATATTTTAAACGTATAAATTCAAATAAATTTTTAAATTTATTAATTAATTTAAATATATGTATAGGATATCAAATATCGAAGAAAGTGATGATAAAATTAAAATTTATATTGAATATTTTAATTATAAATATTAATTTATATAATTATGTCATAAAAAAATAATTTATAAAATAATTACTCAAAATTTATTATTGATGATTTATTTGTAATTAAGAGATGTTGATTATAATTTAATTTAGTAAATAATGAGAAAAATAATTTATTTTGTTTATTGATAACTTGACGTTTTTATTTTTTTTATAATTCTTTATCATCACTTTGTGCAATGTATCTCTTTAGCATTGCACATGTCTTACTTAAAGAAAAAGAAGTTTAGAAAAAGAATTTAAAAGAGAAAAAAATGACAATATATATTAGATAAGGACTAAAAAATAAAATATAATTTATAATTAGAATGAAGAAAAATAAGAGGTAACAATTTAAATATCAACTACAAACAGTGAATGAAATATGAAAATAAATGAATACTACCAAAAATTACAGCAGAATGCAACAACATTCAAATTATTTTTATTTTGTTCAATTAAAATTATATAACAAAAAATTATGAAGATTCTAAAACAAAATTTAAATAGTTCTAAAAAAAATATAGCTTCAAAAAGTAATTCTAAAATTTTTATAAACAAAGAAAAACATACAAATTAAAATAATGGAGAAAATTTGTAAAGATGAAGAAAAAGTTCAATTTCATAATTCTCCCAAAATTTGCGATTTTACATGGAACTCCCAAAGTTCAGTGCCTTGATTTCCAAAGTCCATTGTTTAATTTTATGAGAGATCTCATAGTACGATATTGTCTCATTCATTAGGGTTTGTAGTGTAACCTCATCCATCAACTATTTCCACACTTCAAATCCATGAGAGTTTTGTGTAGTGTTATCCCATCCATATAGATATCACAATGCAAGATTGTCTCATCTACCAAGAATTTCATACGCAATGTTGCCTCAACCATATAATAAGTTAAGAAGATATTTATAGGAATAAGTCATTTGTAAAACCAAAGAGAAAGAAAATAATAAAATAGAAACGAATGACCTCTTATCCTTATTGAGCACATTTTTAACATAAAGAGGTTGATGTCAGTGGATAAAGATGTCATATTGTAAAGGAGGTAATTGTTGAGGAAGAGTTGGAGCGTGACAATAATAATGATAGAATTGTCAATTTGCCAAAAAGATAAAGAAAAAAATAGAATAGAAATGAATGACCTCTTATTGTCAAGGTGAAAGTAGTGGAGGAGAGGAGGATAAGGACGTTGTATGAGGGAGGAGGTAGTCATTGAGAAAAAAGTAGAGTATAACGACACTAGTAAGATTGTCAATATACTTGGGAGGTGTTAGAGAGACTACATTTTCTAAAGTGAATTTGTAGTTAAATTTTCATAAATAAATGTGTAGCTAGATTTACATAAATGAAAATATATTAAAAAAAGAAAAAAAAATCATAGAACAATATAAATGTTGACATGACAATGGATGCGTTTGAAATCGAGTAATTCAACTTTTATATTATAAATAGATTTGTGTAAAATTTCATGGAAGCTACCACTAGTTGGAAGAGAAAATAAACTATAAACACTCTTGACACCATACGTTAAAAGTTAAAATTTATTGTATTTTAAGGTGTTGCTTACGCCTCTAATTACTATCATTTCAGGTGATTAATAGATTTCAGAACATGAATTGGCACAATAATTGCACAATTCACTAATGCAAATTGTTACTGTATAAAGCTTTTGTTTATTTACTGCTATAAAATTAGACTTCGGGTGAAACATGGAACTGTGAAAGGAAAAATAAATCTGGTTTCTATATCCAAATTATCATTCAAAGATTCCTCACTTGGTCGATGTTTGCGCGTTGAAGGTTAAGTATAATAATTTAGCATACGTCATTATTTTAGAATGCCAACAAAAATTAGCACATATGCCAAGATATTTAAAGGTGAGCTCAGATAAGTTTTTTTTTTTTTTTGGTATATAAGCTCAGATAAGTTTAAAAATATATATTACACACTGTTATTTTAAAAGACTGTTTTTTTAACTCAAAAATAAAGAAAGACACCTTTTTTTCTAAATTATTTAATATTTAAAATGTTTAAATGCGTTCCTAAATTTTTTTTATCAAATATGTTTTTAATCTCCTAACTTTTGTTAATTTTTGTTTTTATTTCTGTACAAATTTTATTTGATTTTAATTCTTGAAAATGTAACAGCCCATTTTTCGTGGACCAAAGGCCCAATTCGTAGTTGTGCTTTGGAATAGCTGTGCTGCTTTTCCAAAGGCAAGTAAAGATGTAGACATTTCATCCGGGTCTTCTTCTCGTCTCTGTGTTGATGCTTCTATGTTGCTTCCCTTGGACAGGTGTATTTGCTCGTATCCTCACCCTTTAGAGCAGTTGAGCATTGATTGCATACTCTATTGGGTAACAAGGTTGACAAAATGTACACTTGATCTTCAGTCTTCGAGTAGAAGCTCCACTATTTCTCTTGTGATAATGTGTCCTTTTATTTGTAGCTTGTTTAAGAGGGAGTATTATTATGCCTGGCCTCTCCAGGCTGCCTACTGAACGGTCATTTCCTCCGTGTCTTCTTCTCGTCTCTGTGTTGATGCTTCTATGTTGCTTCCCTTGGACAGGTGTATTTGCTCGTATCCTCACCCTTTAGAGCAGTTGAGCATTGATTGCATACTCTATTGGGTAACAAGGTTGACAAAATGTACACTTGATCTTCAGTCTTCGAGTAGAAGCTCCACTATTTCTCTTGTGATAATGTGTCCTTTTATTTGTAGCTTGTTTAAGAGGGAGTATTATTATGCCTGGCCTCTCCAGGCTGCCTACTGAACGGTGAGTATTATTATGCCTGGCCTCTCCAGGATGCCTGCTGAATGGTGAGTATTATTATGCTTGGCCTCTCCAGGCTGCCTGCTGATGTTGAGTATTATTATGCCTGGCCACTCCAGGCCACCTGCTGAATGCTGAGTATTATTATGTCTGGCCTCTCCAGGCTGCCTACTGAATGTTGAGTATTATTATGCCTGGCCTCTCGAGGCTGCTTGCTGAACGGTGAGTATTATTATGCCTGGCCTCTCCGGGCTACTTGCTGAATGGTGAGTATTATTATGCCTGGCCTCTCCAGGTTGCCTACTGATGCTGAGTATTATTATGCCTGGCCTTTCCAAGTCGCTTGTTGAATGTTGAGTATTATTATGCCTGGCCTTTCCAGGCTGCCTGCTAATGCTGATGATGTGATTGCCCCTTTTCTATGGGAGGATGTTTGATGAAGACGTGGATTGCTGGTAGGTGGTGCCCTTGTGATGATGGGCAAAGGAGTAAATGATGAGTATTATTATGTCTGGCCTCTGCAGGCTGCCTGCTGATGATGATGATGTGATTCCCCTTTTCTTTGGGAGGATGTCTGATGAAGACGAGGATTGCTGGTAGGTGGTGCCCTTGTGATGGTGGGAAAAGGAGTTGATGGGTGACAGGGATTCTAGTGTTGCCCCTGCCATGTAAGTATTGTGATGCCTCTCCAGGCGTCTTCTTGTGGTAGGTTGGTAAGAGTTTGGTGTTGTTCTTGTCAAGATGAGCATTGTAATGCCTCTCCAGGCGTCTGCTTGTAATAAGGTTTTTTCTAAATTTTGTTTTCTTAGCTTCGGCTTTTTCAACATGTACGAAGCTTTCC